GGAGCCGGAGGATGCGGGGGAGCCTGCGGGGCAGGGCCGGGCGCGGGTCTGCCGGTACAGCCAGGTGCGTGTGGGGGACACGGGGACAGAGCAGAGCCTGCGGGGTGGGACGGCCTGAGGGGACCCCTTCCAGCCCTGCCTGGCCGGGCCCCGCAGCCGGAGCCCCTTGCCGAGCCGTCCCTCCCCGTTCTCCCGTGCGGAACCGCCGGCTCGGTGCCGGGGGAGGCACCGCGGCCCTCGGGGGATCCTCAGCACGGAATTTGCCCTCATTTTAAGGAAGCAAATCCCCCTGGAGGAGGGGGGCTTAAAGGGGTGCTGTCACTTCGTGACTCCTCAAGATCCATTACATTGCCATGAGCTGGGTTTTAATTTGTTTTTCCCCACCATTCTCTATGATGTGGGTGCTTTATCCCATAAATACAGGTTCTGTGTTGTGTGTGGCACCTGCCTGTTGGCCATTGCTGATGGCTACTGGATTTGATGGCCTTCTAAGTTTTTGATTGGTATCCTCAGATTTGTATGGTGGCCTTCCCTAGTCTCTTTCATGCCATCACTAAAAATCCATTACATAACATCTGCTCAATGTTAAAAATGAGCTGTAGCTCTTTATTTCTTGTAGACATGTTTTATTTCTTAAGGAGTATCTGTAGAGCAACTTTAAAAACCAAAAAATAGTGTGTTTTAAAAACTAAGGGTACATGTGCAATTTTGAGCAAGGTGCTGCAAAACACGAGCACTTGTGTCTGGTGCCTTAAAATAATATTTATTTGAAATAAAAGGAATTTGTTAGCTTTATCTGAGGTTTCTGTTTATAGCATCAGTATTTTTCAGTTTGACATTGGGTGTCAATAGTTTCTTCTCCAGCACTGCTTTGGTAAATACAACTTTTTCCATTTCAGTACTTCCTGTCTCAGATAAAACACACTACAGTCCTTTAACTCCTCCTCTTTCTATGAAGAGGAAACCACTCCTGCACTTTGAGCTTCATTTCAGCAGCTCATCCTTATCTTTAGACTACAAATAGGCAGATAAAGTTTTCTAATGAATATCTTTATAAAAGAGCTTAATATTAAGCTTTCTTTTTTTGCTTAATAAGCATTAAAATACAGGAAAAAATACTTTTGAAGGAACAATGTGTGCGCATAGATCTGGGAAAGGCCAAAGGTACTTTGGATGGAATAGCTGTAATTCTGAAGTGAAGAGGCAGAGATTTCCTTTGAAGTTTTTAGCACTGTTTGGGTGCAACCTATCAACTTTTCTTTTGTACATGGCTGGAGTTCACAAGCTTTGATAAGTCCAGAACACTCCCATTACTCTGTTTGAATGTGTTTGTTCTTCAGGTTCTTTTTTTTTCCCTTAGAGCAGCTCTGGATGGTGACAACTGTAAAAACAAGGACCATTTTTTCACTCAAGTGAGTGGACTTTGCCAACTTTGCCTTACAAAGGAGGATGTTGTTGTCTCTGAGACTTATTGCCCCTGGAATATTATTCATTTTTAAGTAGGAGCTCTTCCTTCAGTGATCAATGTGTAGTCACCTCTGTCTGACAGTGCCCAAAAAATTGTAAGGGCACTGGAATGAGTACACAAAGAAGCAGCAGTAAATCTCGTAGCCATTTATGCCTTTGGAGCCAAAGGCATGGATCAATTTCCCAAACTTGTTTGTACTTCTGCTTATTTTACACTAATTCTCATTCTTCTCCCTTCAGCCTGGATGGTTTTCTTTATGCCTGAAGCAGCTAATATCTTTCTTTGATCCTGAGGTTAGAGTTTTTTATTGTTATTTTCACTATGCACTTTCAAAACAAACTTAAAATTCTGCTTCTGTCTGCATTTCACTCTTGTCTCTGTTCACAGCCTGAAGTTCCTGCAGGTGTGTCTTTCCAGCTTTTTTGCATCTCAGTGCCTTCAGCTTCTTACAAGGGAGCTTTGAAAACTTTGGGGGTTGTGTTGATTTTAAGAAGTTCTCTCTGAGACTGCTGTAACACCTGGAGTTCATGATCAGCTGTTTTAATAAAAAAACCCATGGTCCTGCCTTCTCCTAAATCTTCATTGACAAAGGGTTTCAATCACTCTTCTGGACTCTTGTCTTTCTTATTCCTGTGCCTTGTTCACAATCCACATCCCTTTTGGTTATAGCAGCTTTCCAGCTGATTTCTCACCAGATCCTCTTTCTGTCACCTTCTCCTGGCTATGTCCTCTGCTTCCCTTGCTCTTCCCACAGCAGTGCACATTCTGCCTGGTGTGATGCAGGTTGGAGCGTGAAACCCATTTAGTTTTGCTGTGAGACAAAAAGGTGTTTGATTTCTACAGGGAAGTTTCAGCCTTTCTGTTTGGTTTGTGTTTCTAACCTGGAAGGAAAGGCCTTAAGTTGGAAGTTTGTAGAGACCCAGAAACAGCACCTGCTTGGAGGAGTGAAGCTGAGTTTCGCTCTCTTTGCTTCCTCATCTTACTCTCTTGATTGCCATGCTCCAGATTGCTTTTTCCCTGGATCTGGCTTCCTTCTGGACAAGCCTTTTACAGCCCCTCACGCCATGGCATTGCATCTGTCTCTGTATCTGCACTGACTCTTCAGCAATCCAGTTCTCTTCCTAAGTGGGACCCAGTCTGCTGTTCTCCTGTCCTACCTGACTGTGTTCAAGGATGTTACTTTAGAATCTTAGATGTAAAGAATTTATGGGGTTATTTGATAACTGGGGACAAAATTGTCATTAATGCCACATAACTGTCATCAGGGCAACTGAATGGGTGACTTCATTACAGCAAGGTGTTACAAATGTAGACCAATTCCTGCCTTAATAATTAATGAACTAGTGACCAGTGTTTGTTAGAAAGTGGTTTTATTTTTCTTTGTGCATGTGGTGTTAAGAAATATCAAATGAGGTTAGGAAGTAACTTGGGGGAGTTTTTGCTGCTTCTTTCTTCTAATTTTCTTATAATTCTTGTTTTGCAAGACTCTGCACATCTTACCCCCATTTCCAGCTTCCCTGTTCTCTCTGTGAGCTGGCATTGAACCCTCTGGCTGTGCTGTGCTTTGGATGCCCTTTGTTCATGAGCAGTCTTGTTTCATTTGGTGGTTCTCAATTCACAGAACATTGTAAAATGCTGTCATGGTTTGAGGTAAGATGGTTCAGCAGTCAGCAAGATTAAACCTGTCAGTGTTGCTTGCAAAGTGTAACAAAATCCCTTATCGTTGAGGTAATCCAATGGATAAATGATTTTGTCTATATTTCAGTTAAAATGCACTTTAAACTAAGTCATACTTGCAACTTCTATTTCCATGAAGTTCAGAGAAGGAAATTAAGCTGTTCTTTCTGAATTCAGTCTAAATGTGACACTTGGAATGAATCTAGCACATCTGTAATGAGAACCTGGTGCCAATTCATGTGGCAACACAGGTTTTTCTCTGTAGCAATTTGAATTATGCATAAAATACAGTGAATTCAGCTGTAACTAGGTAAATCTGTCACTTGGCAACTAATAGGGATCCTGTGAGTCACTGCTGTGGGCATTCTCATTTTGTATCTTTTTTTTGTTTTCTTAGTGAAGTTTGATTTCAGAATGTTCCAACTAAATGTTTTTTATTTGCAGGATCAAAGCTCAAATTCCTCACTGCTGTCTTGGAGGGGTTTTCAGGTAGGCTTGACATAAAGTTTGGTTATATGGAAAGTTGAGTAATACTGAAGATTATGTTTAGAAGAGAAGTCCATGTGGCTCAGTTGCTCTCCACTGTCTAAATCAGCAAGGCTGATCTTGAACATAAAGCAAAGATGAAATAAACTTCTATTTCAGCAAGGTCTGCAGGGAATGAGAATCTTGAATTCAAGGGATATTTCTACATCTTCTAAAGTCTAGCCTCTGTCTTCACTAAGGTTCATAGCAACTCAGAGACATGTCTTGTTTTAAAACCTTTGAGTTAAGGAAAAACAATTACATTTTCACATTTGAGATCTCCAGGTCATTCTGATCTTTTCCACTGGCAAACCCAAGTGGGATAAAAGATATATGTAAAACATAAAAACCTTGATTAATAATATGAGAAGGAAAAAGAAGTATTTTGGTTACAGGAGACAGTGATATCTTCTCTTGGTTTAAAGTTGTCATCAGGAGTGCAGAGAAATGACTGCAGCCCCAGTCTGGCCGGTTTTGGGAGTGTAGAGTGCAGGGCACATGCAGGGGGAACCTGTGGGAGGTGCTGAATTCAGTCAGGGCATTATTTTATTTCACTTTATCTTATTTTGCAGAAGGCGATTTTATTCTGAATCTCTGCTCTGTCTCTTCTCTTCAGTGCAGTGGGAGGCGCAACTGGACTGCGGCCAGGGACCTGCAGAGATACAGAAACCATTACCCAGTAGGTGCTCCTGGGGCTCCTCCTCACCACTTCCTGCCTTCAGGAGCACTTCCCAGATTTGGGAGGTGCCTTTGCATTTACAGGATCAGCACCTTCCAAGGATTCCTTTGTGAGGGGGAAGGGATGATATGCGTGTGCATGTGGGTGCGTCAGAAACAAGGTGCTACTTCCCAAAGCACATTTTGAGGATTTAGCTTGAAATGTGTAGAGAATGTGAGGAAAATCAAGAAGATTTTGAGGATTTAGCTTGAAATGTGTAGAGAATGTGAGGAAAATCAAGAAGTGTTGGAGTGATTACTGCCTGTTAAAAGACTGCTGCTTGTTCATTTCTTGTTCTCGTCTCCAGGATTTGAAAGAACCAGAGTATGAGGAGGAAGAAGAGATGTGGAACTTAAGCTTTTATAAAAATGAGATTGCTTTTCTGCCTCACGGTGAGTACATTGTGTGGTGGCTTTTTTCTAGCTGATTGTCATATTGGAGAGGCTAGTGCCTGTGTGTAAATATCTGAGTCTGGGTAGTGAGCTGTGTGAAGTGGCTGACTGGCTAACTTTAATTTTAATTTGGTGTTATTTCTTGCCTGACATTTTTCCTTTTCCTTGCAGGTGTGTTTATTGAAACTCTGCTTTCATGTTGGGGGGACAAGTACGAAACGCTGGAAGAAAACCATTCTTACATACAGTGGTAAATTGCATGAACACAGTGCCTCTCTAATTGTGCTTCCTTTAAGTGTCAGGTGGATCTGTGCTCCTGATTTCACCTTCAACAAGACCCAGAATTACTTTAATTAAGTTGCATTCCTGAGTTAGCAAAGCACTGGAACTCCTGAAAACACAGGTTTCCAGTGCAGCTGCGGCAATATATATCTCAGTTGTTCATGGTCTTGGTGCCCAAAGTTAGGGCAAAGAGAAAGATACACAAAAAGCTTCTTGTTTTTGGTGTAGACAATGCTTTCATGGGAGGGATTTACTAGAAAACTACTTCTGTGTCCATAAGGATGGGTGTTCTCCAAGTGATGCCTGTGATCTCACAGATATTGGAATCTTTTTTGGTTTTAACAAGTTGGGTACCTGGGTTGGATGTCATCTTTGCTCAACTGGCCTGAAAATTTCTTTCCCGTCAGGCTGTTCCCTTTGCGTGAACATGGGATGAACTGGCATGCCAGGCAGCTCACCTGTCAGGAAATCAAGGTATTTTTTTTAAACTTTTGTCTCTTTTCTTTGAGATCTGAAGTGTGTTAGAATTTCCCCTAAATACCTTATATTTGAAGTCTAGTGGTTTTTTCCATTGTTTCCTTGGGTTTTAGTGTGCACAGAGCTCACAGTGAAGCATTTGCCTGTCTTGTGTCAGCAAATGAAATGCTTAGTGATACAATCAACCCTTGTTCAGAATTCAGGTGCCACTTAATCTGGTGCAGGTAATTAGGGAGTTGCACCTTTTAATAATTGTTGTGTCTTGTTTTCAGGCCTTTAGGAAGTCCAAAGAAGTTATGGACAGGTTTATCCGTGCTTACAAGATCATGCTGGGATTTTATGGAATCAATATGGTCAACGAAGAAACTGGAGAACTTGAGAGAGCAGAGAATTGGCGTGAACGATTTGAAAACTTGAACAGGTGAATGTGTTGATGCTGTTGAGCAATTACTGCAGCCAGGCACTTCTTTGAAGGGGAAAATGTCAAAGCCTAGAAAATCAGCTATTGAGGAATGGAGACTTCTGTTGATAAATGTTATCTAGTGAAAGTATTTTTAATTTCTGTTTTGTAGCTTAACAGAATAAAAGTCTTTCCATATGGTTCCCTGATTGTTTGTGAAGCAACCCTAATGTGTGTAAAATGCTTTGAGTCCTTGTTTGAAAAGTGCTCTGAAAATGGTTTGGTTTTATATTATTGCGGGTTTTGTGGAATAAGTAACAACCTCCCTGGTGGTATTAACCTCTTGAAAGGAGTGGGCATTATCACAAAAAGAAAAAACAACCTGAAGTCTGTGAACTATTATAAAGGAAAAACCAGCTGTGTCTAACTTAAATCCTGAGGTTTTGGCAGCATCTTTTCATGCCTGTGTTCTAAACACTACAGGCTTACCCCTCTAGGGTCTCTGTCAGGGGCAGAATTTTTGTGTCTGCCCCAATATGATGACTCTTACCTACTGGTGGTTGATTCAGAAAACCAAAACCTTTCCAAGCAGCAGAGATGATGAATCCTATCAGCCCAGGGAGGGTTAGGAAGGAGCTGCTGAAGGCAGACAGCAGCAGTGGGTGCTTTAAAAGTAAGCCCACCTGTGCTCCCATTTCCACTGTCAAATAGTCTTTAATGGCTCACAGTCAGTAAACGCTAAAACATTTTGTAGATGCCCCAGAGGTTCACAGTGACTTGTATGACTTTCCCTTGACAGCTTTGTTTACCTGTTTCCTTCAGGTTCAGCCACAACAATTTGAGGATTACTCGCATCCTGAAGTGCCTGGGGGAAATGGGATATGAAGACTATCAAGTGCACTTGGTGAAGTTTTTCCTCACAGAAACTCTTGTCGAGGAGACATTACCAAATGTCAAGAGAAGTGCCTTGGATTACTTCTTGTTCACTGTCAGAAGCAAAGAGAAGAGGAGAGAACTTGTCCACTATGCTTGGCAACACTTCAAACCTCAGAGCAGCTTTGTGTGGGGGCCTCGTGACAAACTCCAGAAGTACAGACCCCGCTCTGCCAAGCCACAGCGACACCAAAGGCCCGAGGATAAACAGGACACTCTGTGTCAAAAGTGTGATTCTGTGGAGAAGGATCAGAACCAGTCTCCAGAGGTGGAACAGAAAGCTGGAGATGCTGCAAAGTTGCAGCCTGAAATGAGTGATGAACACGTGAAGAAGATAAGCAAATATGTTTTGATGGTAGGAGATGATGAAGAGAAGAAAGCAGCTTTATTTGCCCAGCTGGAGGAAAAGGATTTAAAAAGTGAAGCTGAAGAAGTGCATGGTACAGCAGAGAATGACTGCACAAAGGAGAGCAAGAAGAGAAAACTGAATGCAAATCTGGCAGATGCTAAAGGAGATGGATCATTGAAAACCTCTGCTGATATTGAAAACATTTCCCATAATCTGGGAGAGTGTGCAATTGATGCAGAGATCCCCTCCTCAGACCCAGTCTCCCAGGCAGAAGAGAAGCAGGAAGCACTGAAGGAAGAAGATTCAAGCACCAAAGAGCCGGCGGCGCCGGAGGCCACGGACGCAGCTGTGAAACGCAGGAAAGTTGATAAAAAAACACTGAGAAACAAACCAGTCAGCTTGGCCATAAACCTGAGCATGGAGCCCTCAGCCTCTGATGCCAAGGCAAATCCTGCTGCTAACGGTGAGGCTGGAGAAGAAAATGCCAGTGAGAAAAGTGCAGATGTGGAAGTGCCAAGTGAGAAGGGGGGTGGTGATGCAGGTGATGGGGCTGTGAGATCCCCGGCTGATGCCAGGGCCCCCAGGACTGGCTGCACTGCTCCAAGCAAGGATGGCTGGAAGTCGAGTGGAGCTCAAGACTCAGCAGGGGATGATCAGCACCACTGCAACAGCAAACTCCAGGGGGGTGAAAGTGAACTAGATGGGCTAGAACAGCAGGAAATGGAAGGTGAGAAAGGACAAGCAGAGGACACAGACAAGAAGCAAGCTCCAGAGAGTCATGAGCAGAGCACGACACCCACTTGTCCTGAAGAAAGCAGTGCTGAGGTCCCACCAGAAAAAGGTGAAGGCTCTGAGGATGCAGCAGAGTGTTGTGGAGAGCAGGGAGCAGCAGAGTGAGAGCAGCACAGCAAGTGCCCGAGCCAGCGGAGATGACACTGCCCTGTCTGCTGGGACCCAGCTTTGGTGGCTTGGAGAACTGAATAAATGTCCTGTGGGATGATCCAGCTTGCCCCTATCTTGCTTTCCACTCTTCCATGTTTTTTTAATCATCTCTAGTAAACTCACTGAGATCCAGTTCTTGGTTACCCTGAAGAGGAAAACTCTTCATTTGCTCATCTTCACGGACAGGCCATGTCCTGTTCCTGGGTTTTATCTGATGTTCAGGGCTATCTTGGAGCAACGGGGATTTTTGCACTTTGCTTTGATTCTGGTAATGTCCCTGCTGAAAGAGAAGAGGAAAACTGATCTGTCTCCTTGTTTGAATTACTTAACTTTTATTAAAGACACAATTTTTAATGTAAGACAGCATGACCTACTTTTTGCCAGGCCTTTCTACTGCTGTGTAACTTCTGTTTGTTATTGTGAAAGGCTGTACCTTACCAGGAGATTTTCCTGGCAAAAGTGCTATTTCTCTAAAAGAGATGAGTACATGGATTTCACATGATGTCAGTATAGATGTCTCTCCTCCTGTAAGGAAAGTAGGTTTGGCTTTAGACTGGCATAAAAAACTGTAGCCAAAACGTGTCTCTGACCAGCATGAACCTTTGTGTACTGATTCTGTTCTCTGAGGTGCAGAGTGCTGAGTAATTATTTCTCTTTATCCCCACAGAGGTTGCTTTGTAGTTCTTGTTAGAGTTGAGACTACAAATTGCCTACTGGTTTCTAAGAGTAAAAGCTCCAAGTTTTGCATAAAACTCTTCAGAGTGCTCTTCCCCAGATTTTCCCACCACTTTTAGACCCTTTATAGTCTTCCACAGATTTTTGTGTCCATGACTGTTTCAAAGGCCCTTGTCTTTCAGTTGCCAAAGCAGCACAAATACTTCCCAGTGCATTTTTTTCAGCTTTTGCTGGTAATTTGCAGTGGCCTGGGGAGGCTCTTTCCTGCAGGCCAATGGCATGATGTTTGATGTGTCAGATCCAACCTTTTTCCTACTTAGGGCAGGGTTGCTTTGCCTTTAATGTCAGACAGCCAGGGCATGTTCCAGTGCAGCATGTCTGGAAACCACTGGGCTTTGTGGGGCAGTTAATTGAAACGTTAATTGGAGAGGCTATGCTTGTCTGGTTCGTTTATTTCCAGCCCTCAAGAATTTACTTTCAGACCTTGCCAGCTCTTTGCCTGCCTCAGTGTTCCTGACCTCCCTGTCAGCTGTTCTGCCACACTTACACAATATTCCACCGAGGCTGAAGGAGCATTAAAACAGTTTAGCACCTTCACTCCTACAAATTTACAACAGAGGATCTGTTTCATGAAGCAGAGAAAATTGTTAGCAGCAGCCCAAAGGTCTGAACTTGCTGTTTGCTCAGGTTGTTTGGGTTGGTTTTGAGGTTCTTTGGTGCTGTTTGGTTTCTGTTGAAGATGGTCAGAGAGCAGATACAGCAGCTTGTGCAATGTCAGTGTTTTTCCTCTCTGCTACAGCTCTTAAGAAGCTTTATCTTTCAAGGAATTTCAAGGAGGGGTGATTTGTCTTCCCAGACTGTAGATTCTGATCCAGCATGCCACATATGTGTGTGGAAATAAAAGTCTGCAAGCTTAACATCTGATGTTCAGGGTCACATAAGTACTGAAAAAAGGCTTTAATGTTTTTTAAATACTTCTTTCTTCTTGAGAACAGATGGAGTTAAATAGCCAATAAGAATACACTTAACTACAGATATAAATACTTGAAGATGATGAGTGATAATTCTTTCCTAACGGATTCCTAAGAATTGTTAATTGTGGCTTTTGTACAGATTTATAGTAATTTTCTTATTTAATGAACTTCTCATTGTGAATATGTGCTCATTTGGGGCATTGATCCTATATCTTGCTATGGTGAGGTTTGGTTTTGTGTTTAATGGGATTTCACTGTGAGCCCCAGCCTGGAGTGAGTGCTCAGACCAGCCCCTTCCCTCCTACCAGGTTTAGTTTTGGCTGTGGGTGTGTGTGGTGAGTTCACAAAGTGTTTCCCAGCACTCAGAGCTGTATCACAGATTCTGTTATGTTAATTCCCCTATTAAAGCATGACTTTAATGCATACCAGTTTCCACTTATATTTTTTCATCTTTGAGGATATGACCATGTATCTATTTACCCTCCTTCCTGGAGCCATGAGCTGTTGCTTGGTGCCCTCCAGTGAGTGGGTGCTCTGCTGGGTTCCCCATGGCACACATCTGCTGCTGCTTCCATGTGGAGGTGATGCCCAGTCTTCCTCACCTCTGAAACGTGCCCAGTGAATGTTTTTGGGGAAAAGACTCCCTCCCATGCTGCCTGTTTAGTGATGTGCTTGGAAATTCATAGAGTCACAGAATGGTTTGGGTTGGAAGGGACCTGAGTTTATCTTGGTCCAACCTCCCTGCCAATGGCAGGGACACCTTACCTGGACCAGGTTGCTCAAAGCCACATGCAGCCTGGCTTTGAACACTTTGAGGGATGAGATCTCTGGATGTTTCAGAATGTTTTGCATTGCTTTTGCAGCTCTTCTCCCACAGGTGGTGTGGTGCTCTGCAGAGCAAACCAGGACTCTGAGCATGCCCTGGGGCTCCAGGCAGGAGGGCACCAGCCCAGCCTGGCTGTGGGAGCTTCAGTTCAGGGGTTTTTTCCCTCAGGACACAAGAACAGGGGTGTCTATGCTGTAACAATTCCTCTAAGTCATCGTGTCCCCTCAGCTGTGTGCCTGTGGGTGTGGGGTGAGAGGGTTACCAGGAATCCTTTTGGTCTGTGGGATGGGTTTGAAGGAGAACACCCCAGGGCCCTTCCTGTGCTGGGCATGGGCAGGCTCCACCTGCCCCCAAAGCCCTGATTTGCTCTGGAGGTGTGCCTGAGGAATTTGGGTCTGCTTTGCCTTCCCTCCTGCCATCATCTGGCCTCTGTGTGAATGAGGAGGTACAAGCTGTGCAAAGCTGCTCTCCCTCTTTGGGGTGTCTAATAAAGGGTTCCAGTTACTCTGAAGCCATCAGAAGACACACACACATTCCCTTTCTGTCCCCAACTGTCTGTTCCACAGGATCTTGTAGGAACTTGGTAAATCTGAGTCCTTTGTCCCTCTGCCAAAGCTGTAGGAATACTGGCTGCTGGGGAGCTGGACAGACAAGCACTGTGTGCTCTTAGAAGCTCCTGGTGTAAAGATGTCAGGCTAAAATCAGCTATTTCAGTTGCTAAGCTTTGATTTTCCACTTCTAACCAAATGAGCTGTGTCATTTCAGCCCTGAGGAAGCTGGCCACTGTTCCTCTCCACTTCCAAGCCCTGATTTGGATGAAATTGTCTTAAATCAATAAAGGGAATTGTGAAACTCATTGCAGGAGATGCATCTTCATCAATCTATTGTCACTTGGGATCACCAGGCAGGGAACTGTCCTCTTTCTTCCTCACAATATGTCAGATTTTTTTTGTGGCTTTGAGAATGTTCCTTCTTTTCCTTCCTCCTTGTATCTGTCTGTGATTGTTTTCTGACTAGCATTCATCCCTTCTCAAGGAATCAGTGCTTTTCAGATCACCTTAAAGAAAACCCCAAAACCAGATGTGAACAGCCTCCAGAGCTAACAAAGCACCTGGCTAAGCAGTAAGTGCATTTCTCTAGTGATGGAGCACTCTTACAGGTTTGTTACTGTCCCTGTCTCAGTTAGGTGGCCTCGGGCACCGAAAGCTCACCCTGCTGTGGTTTTTACCTGTCCAGCACAAGCTCACCCTGCTGTGGTTTTTACCTGTCCAGCACACAGGTGGAGACACACTTTGGGAAATGTCCTGGGTGAGCCCTAAGGAACAGCTTTGTGTTTGCAGCTGGTTTTGTGTGGATGCTAAATCTGAACCAGAGTGCCTGTAGTTATTACAGGCCACATAGCTCTCAGGCCTGACTGAAGCCTAGCCTGAGAAATCTGAAGCAATAAACTAGGAATTCTCGTGTTGTGACTCCCTTGAGAGTCCATTGTCGTTCTTTATCGCCGTTCCCAATCGGAACGACAGGTTTTGCTCCTGTGTCCCATCTCCCAGTGCAGCCCTTCCATAGGCTCCGGGAGCAGGAGGCTGGGGCTGCCCAGCAGGGCATGGATGAGAGCTGCTCTGCTCTGCCTGCTGCTCCCCCTCCTACAGGTTTATCTGGAGGCGAGGAGTCTCTGCTCTGTAAGCTGAGACCCGGGAGGAGGAGGAGGGATCTGCTGGACCCTGAGGAGAAAGGGTTTGGCTGCCCTGGAGGAAAGGGAGAGAGGCAGAGCCTGGGCACCATGGCTGGATTCTCTGCTCTTGGGCTCCTCTCCCTGTGTCAGCTCTTGGCCACAGCATCAGCTCAGGTGAGAAAACTCATTTGTCTCATGCTCAAGGAAAAACCTGTCAGGGTAAAAAAGAATGGTCTGTGTGTGTTGTACCTGTGGGGTGAAACGTGGCAATAGGCAGGCTATTATTCTAAAGTTTATTACAAATGTGTGCCTGGGTTTGTACCTGTGTGGGTAGGTGTAAAAACTGCTGCTTTGTCTTTCTGTAGAAGTGATTTCCCCATTCAGGACTGCAGTTAGGAGAGAGAAAGCCCTGGAAAGGGAAGATATGTTGATGCAAGAGAAACAGTTTGCTTTTACAATGAAGTAACAGATTTGCAGCGAAACCGATCTGATCTTGGTCTTTATCTGAATCAGAATTTCTTACTCATCCCCTCAATCAGTTTTCAAATTTTGCACTTACAGAATGTTTAACCTTTGCTCACTTGAGACATGAAGCTGTATTAAACTTCCCTGTCTGCTGTTAATATTATTGTCTGGGGAAGTGACTCCTCAGTGAGTTTTTCATTGTTAGTGAGGAATTTTCGCAGCCTGGCTTGGGAATTCAGAGCTCTGCTGTGAGCAGAGCTGCTTCTACAATGAAACCTTTGTTCCCTGAAGCTACAGTAAGTTGCTCTCTGGAGCCCTCTCCATACAGAAGTCATTTATTGAACTTTTCTTTCCTTCCCCCCACCTTAGACCTTTCCAAAATCCAAGATTTTCAAGTGGCATTGTGCTCAGAGAGGAGACTTTCTCCTCCTGGCTTCATTGGCTTTGCCATCACCCCATCAGACTGGGGCTATAAATTAATTCTTTCTACCAAGCACTTGGCACCTCTTCCATGGGCTCTGCATTTCCTCCTCTGCCCAGCCCAAAACGTGCCTGTAGTCAGAACAATTTCCCATATAATGAAACCCCTTTGCTGCCCAGTGACCAGTTTGCATTCCCAGTATAGACCACAGTAAAAGGAGCTGGGGATGTGCTCAGTCAAAAGGGTTTTCCAGAGAGCCTTGCACTGCTCTGGAGCAATACTGAGCCCATCCAGGCTGGAAGGGGAGTGCAGATTTAGGGTTAAGCTCTAGGACTTGGGTATTGATTTCTGATCTAGCCTGTGTGTTCCTTGTGATGGAAAAATAAGCTCTTGTCTCTCACTTTTTCCCAGTCCCTTCCGAGAATTGGACCACAAGGCCCTCCTGGACCACGAGGACCCCCTGGACCATCTGGCAAGGACGGCATTGATGTGAGTGACACAGGGCAGGGGCTGGCTCGGGCGAGGGGTGGGGCAAAGAAGCTGCTCTTCTTCTCCAGATCTGCAGCCTCTGGACATCCTTTGGGGAGATGGACCTGAAAAATCACTGTCCTCACATGAGACCTCGTTCTGCAGGAGTCTGAGCAGTGAGTGGAGGTGCTGAGCAGGTTCTTGGCAGGACCAATCCCCGGTCCCCAGGGAGAGCTCAGGGGTTTGTGACCCTGCTTGCAAAGCAGAATATTTCTCTTTTGGTGCAAGGTTGAGTGCAGGGGTACGATGTGTGTGGGGGCAGCACAAGTTCAGCAGCTCAGAGACAGATTTATGTAATGCTTCAGAGCATCTGCATTTCTAGAGAGGCTACAAGAGACTCAGTTATGCAGCACTGGACACTGCTTTTGTCTCATTAGTTTTATTTCAATATTGTCATCATGCTTATCCCTCACTTTGGCACACGATGTGTCAGGATCTGGCTCTTGTGTTGCCAGACATGAGTTTGCAGTGGCCCAAAAGGCAAATAAAATGAAGAGCCTTTGTTTCAGCAAGCAGCTCCTTACACCTCCTGCAGAGGGGGAAGACTACATAACCCAGGACTTAATGGAAGAGAAAATTTTCTTCTGTTAATTTTAATTGATGTTTCCATAGAAATTAAAAATATTGCGTCCATTCATCTGTTGGATAAGGACTGAATCGTGTCCTGTAGTTGGCAGTGGATAAAATGAGCATCAGATGGACCTTCAGCAAGACAACATCAAATGCAAAAGTCTGTGTTCCTGCTTCAGTTTCCAGTTTGAGCAGCTCTTGTCTCTCTGAGCTGCTTATGGAATAGTGCAGGGGTTTTTAAAGCTCGTCTGAAGTGCATTTATTGGAATTGGGCCCTTAAGCAACCTTGAAAAAATCTATTCATTCCATGCAGGTCATTTTCTTTTGGATAAGGAGGTAAAAAAAAAATATGTATATGTGAGTTCTCTGGTACATGGTGAACAAGGAGTGTTTGTGCCTGCAGTGGGGAGCTTTCCCTGAGCCAGGCTGGGCTGAAGAGAGAACCTCATTGATTTGCAGCTGCTCCCTCTGAGTGTCCTTTTGGCTAAAGCAGTCTGTGTTCCTGGGAATCTCCCTCTGGTTTTGTAGTGTGAGATGCTCAGAGCTGGCACCTCAGCAGCTTCCACTGTGTTTGGTGGTGTCACAAAGGCTCCAGGGGACCCTTCAGAAGAGGGCAGAGGACGCTGGTTCCCATTTGCAGCAGTGGAGTCCCTGCAGCAGGACATTGCTGTGGCCAGCACACTGTGGGAAAGGCTGGCTGTGATTCACTGTGGAAGCAAAAAGAAAAGTTTGGGGAGGATGAAGCCCTTCAGACTTCAAATTTCAACTTCTGCAAAGAGGAAATGGGAAAGAAACCCTGTAGTTGTTCAGTTCCTGCTTTCTACAGGATGTTTAATTCTGGAACAGCACCAGCATGGATTCTGATTGCTGCTGGAAACAGGAGCCCAGGGATTTGTCAGTCATGTGGACCTACACCCCTTTATCCACAACTAAAAGCTTTG